CAGAAAAAGCAAGCCTGTAGTTGTGACTCAATGTGTGAAAATCTGGTCTCCGAATGAATGGTGATAAATCAAGGATGTCTCTCAACCTCTATAAAAATTTTATCTTGATGGTTATGAATTCTCAATTTGAAAATTTGAAGTACTAACTTGTCTTAGCCTACTTATGTTTTTAAGACTCGCCTTAAAAAAAAAACTATGAGCAATGAAATCTTCATATCTTACTCACATGTTTATATAACTTTAGAATTTCAGCCATCAAAAAGCCCATTAAAAGAAAATGATAGAGTTGAATGAATTTCGCTGCAGTGATTATTAAATTGAGCCAAGGAAAAGCAAGCGTTTTCTCAAAAAACTTCAGGATAGTTTGGGCCACATGTAAGGTTTCCGAAACAACAGAATCACCAAGGTACTTTCTTAACCATTTAAAAAAAAAAAAAAAGCATCTGGCAATCCAGAAATCAGTGAGGCAACAGGATGCAAAGAAGCGCTAGACAGCCTAGTGATCCTTCAATATACTCCTGGCAAAGAACCATCCTTCCTTTTGCTCAGTGGGCCATTTTCAACAAGAAAGTGAATGTCAAGCTCCCTGCATCCACATCCTATGGTTAATTGTCTGTAGTGTCAAAGAGCCTTCTTGGCCTATCTAGAACATGGGGATATCATTTCAAGTTGCCCACTACTAAAACAGATCAATAACTACATTTTGTGTCTTTATTTCTTAACTAAGAAAGCCTATGCACGTTTCAGGGGGTAGAGGAAGAAGCCATTCTTGTACAAACATGAGCCACATGCTTAGTATGGGCCCTGTAGGTGCTACCATGCAAGGATGAATACATTTTTGAGGTTTTCCGTGTTCATGATACAAAGGCCTTTGATTTCTTTGTGCTCATATTCTCTTCTAATTTTTTTTAGATAAGAGTAATTTTCCCATGGGTATCTTGAAAGCCTTCAAATAAATACACGAAATAATATCCTCTGGTTTTCTGCTCACTTTATGGGTAGCTGATGTGACTTTGTAGAATAAAGACAGTGTTGCTAGACACCAAAGAAAAATGTAACTGGGAACTATAAGTCAGGTACCCTTCCCACCCCACCCAGCCATGAAACATACCACAAAGGAAAACCCTATAATATTCAAAAACCAAACTAAAAGTTGGGAAACATTTGATACCACTATTCTTCATGACGTGGGAAGTATTTTTATAAACCATGGGGGAAAAAAAGAAAAGGGAGGAACAGTGTTAGGTGGGAAATTTTAGGCATATAGGGTTTATCCAGCCTGCAACTAATACTGCTTTCTTTTAACAGCCTATTGTTTAAGGGTAGTTGACAAGCAATTGCAGAGGTCACGGTGGAAACAGAAGTTTCAAAGACATACTAAATATCACCATCTCTCCCTTTTTCCCTTAATGCCTGGCACCATCCGGAGCTGCCCTCAATATTTCTTTTCCCATTATCTTAAAAAAATTTTTTTGGATTATACGAACAATAGTAGAGACACTTGAAATGAACAATTATCAAAATACAAACATCCACCTAAATAGTCCCATCCCCCCAAAATTTTGTTTTGTTTGTATCTATTCCAATCCAGTATTTGCTTCTATGCACATATACTATTTGCACAGTTATTCCCGTAAGGTGGATAGAATTTCCTGTTGCAGCTTTCCCACTTAACCTTCTCTTTACAGCATTGATATGCGTGAAAAGGCAACGACTTGTAAAATGTTAAAACTACAAGAGAAACAAAACTGGCAATATCTCTAGTTTGTCCCCAATATTTTTAACGTTGGATTCACTAAAACTCAAATCCAACATTTAAAAATTAGGATATTTTAGTAAAAACTGAGATAGACTGCTTCTCTCCAAAAGCGGAGGCGAGGCACTTTTTGGGCAAGTGTGCACAGGACCAAGAGGTCGGGGCAGAGCGGCTGCTGTCCCCTTGGTCTCCACAGCCCCACCAATCCCTGTTGCATTACGCTGGCCCGCTTTCCTCATTTTGGTCACCGATTTGTCTCCTATACCCACAAGTTCACAATCCCTGATCTATTCCAAATGCTCTTCGAACAGATGAAAAATAAAAACAAGGTTTCCAGAGGTAAAGTGACTTCCTTATGGCTAGTAAGCATGTTTGTAGCAGTGCCGGCATCATACAAGAGGCCTCCTGACTTTAAACCGGTGCTCTTTACATTACGTTTATTTCAGAGTACATAGGAAGCTGGATTGTGTGCCAGTGCGACAAACTCACCAGAACTACCATGACCACAAGCTCTTTTACAGAGTTAACTGTCCCAGGTAGCAACTCACCACCTTTTAGGCTCCAGGTCATAATTAACATTTGATGTCCACAAGCCAGACACCTGAACCCCCATCAGTCCTGGCCCTCCTCACAGTGCCTCTTCCACTTTCTCTCATTAAAAACAAAATATCAGAATGTGAGCGAGGGAAGATGATCCCATTATTGAGATAACGTCAAGTCCGCTCTAGTTGATAAAGGAACTACTGAATTAAAAAGTTGCATGCTTTACAATATTCCTATCAGACATATCTCATAGAGGTGTGATGATATGCCAGTAACCTCGCAGACAACTACTATCCTAGGAAATATAAAACCCCCATATCTGTACAGAGACTGTATGTCCTGAGCGCTCAATCAGGACACATGGCACAAGAACTTATTTTTATGAATTTAAGATTTTGGAAATTTTACGAAAGTTAAAAAAATGAATCTTTGTTAGCTATCGTTTAATAAATGGACTTCATGAAAAATAATAAAAACATATACAATCTAAGAATGCCCGATCTCTAAGGCAATTCTTGGAATTGGCTTAGAAAGCGGCATTTGGTGACGATAGCTGCCATGTTGTCCTGGCCATTAAGTGTCCTGTGCAGTTCGCACTTGCTTGTAGTGCTGTGTTCTTCAGACCGAACACCCACTTTCTAGATTCTGCCTCCAAATGGAGAAGGACCTGAGAACATAGCTACAACGTCACGGAGTCAACACAGTAAATAATTGAGAAGCTCATACATTATGTACACATACTACAGTTACTCACTTGGCGTGCACAGGAGCGGTCCATATTCAATCAGGCTCTAGGCTCCTTCACAGAAGAAGGTCTTAATGGCCAAAGGTCTATTCTGGCCAAAGCACCACCTTAGTTGAATAGCGTGGACACTCAGGAGGCCAGTCGCTCTGCACTGGGTTTCCCTGAGGTGCGATGTGCAGGCTTCCTCTAGGGCATTTTCAACTACCTACAAGCTGGGTCTTCTCCTTTGCTCTGACCAATGGGAGCGCCTTCATTAAGCAAGACCTCCCCTGGGGCAGTGGTTTTCCCCCAAAATGAGTATCATGATAAGTGATAACAATTGCTGTGCACTGAGGTCAATCATGGCTCTGTTCTGTCCTCAGCATGTCACATGTTATCTCAGCTCTTTTAAAGATGAGGAGCCTGAGGCTCCCGAGAGGTAAAATTACCCAATCTAGGCCTTTCTAATCCCAAAGCCCATGGCCATAGCATGGACCAGTACAGGCAGCAGGGACACAGTGCAGTGATGTAACCATCTAGATGAGCGTGGCCCCTTCACAGGAGTTGCCTCGGGAGGTTTTACAAGTATTCCTTAAAGCATTTTTATCACTCTTCTTTTGAAATTGCCTTTAGAACCCCAGGCACATTCTTTCAAATATTATCAATGGGATAATCTTCCTCCTTTGAATGTGGATTTGAGTTTTGGATATAGCCATGATTCATTCAATACCCTGTGGTGATTAAAGAACTTATCAAGCTGGGTAAACCAGTTTGGGTCAAAAACAAGGCATGACTGAATGTAACAAGATTATGTTCCCTCTCCAGCTTGTTCTGAAGGTAATGAAGAGGGACTTTAGGCTTGGACTTAGAGGCACCAGGGTTTGGGGTTCAAATCCTGACTGAGCCACCCAAAAGCTATGTGATTCTGGGCAATGTATGTAATAATGCTGACCCAAGGTTTCCTTACCTTCAAAAAGAACATAAGAAAAGAATGCCTGCTTTTAGTGTTGTTGTTTGGGGATCAAAAAATATCATATGTCAAAATATGGAGGAATGTGTCTTAAATGTAGTCCTTCTCAATAAATATTTTCTGATCCTGACTATCAGACTATTACATGTTTCTGTCCTGATGCTTTGAATGTTGTAAGAGATGATAAACAAGAGTTAATGTGGTCTGTGACAATGACCAGACCTCGGGGCCTCTCTCGCATACAGCATTTATCTGCAATTTCAATTTAAAAACACAGAGCGTTGTTTCTATTTCCCTGATGGGAAGTAAGATGGATTTAAAGAAGGTTGTGGCTCAGTTTGAAATGTGGGGGAGGTACTTTAGATCTCAAGTTTATTTCTATGCTCTCTCTAGAAAGGTAGGAAATGTAATAGATCAAGTGTCCCTTCCTAAACATTTAAAAAGCATCCCTATAGCAGGTCCTGGATCAAGACAGGACATGGGACACTGCTCCTGTCCTCAGTAACAGTGTCCAAAGGGCTGGCTTCGTGACATAGAATGATGCTACCCAGATGAGAAGACTTGAGAACACCTCAGAACCCATTGACACAAAGAGTGTCATTCATCTGCTAAATAAGATGTTGTAATGCTTCAGGTAACTAACAAGCACCAAGAGAGACAGTGGGAACAAAACAAACAATATCCTAGCTTAGAGGAAAGAGAGCTGGAAGGAGGACGTGGAGGGGAGAATATGGGGCTAGCTTACAGAACTATAGAGTTTGTGTGGTGGTGTTTGGAATCCGTAGGCCTGCTAGGCTTCTCTGTGAGGTCAGAAGGTTGGTCTGAGAATTCTCGATACCTTGCAGGAAGATGTTTATCAAAAGAAGGAAAAGAGGAGTGTACAAAGCTTTTTTGAACATACAGTAAATCAGGGGTATCCATCAAGGGTAGGGGACAGAAGCAGCCTCTGAGGGGCGTTGGAGATCTTTGACAGCTGATCTACAACTACTCTGCTCTTTCTTTTACAGCAACCTGCAAGCCTGAAGGCTGTGAGGGATTTTGCCTTTGCAAGCTGACATGTTCATTTCCATGTTATAACACTTATTAAGCATCTGAACTCATTTATCTTCTTAACCATCCTATGATACAGGTACAATATTGTTTCCATCTTATGGGTCAGAAAACTAGGGTACAGAGAGTAAATAACTTACCCAAGTTCAAGAGCTCCCAAGTGTCAGAGGCAGGATTTGAACCTAGGCAGCATGGTTCCGGACCCCTGGCTCTTAACTAACAATTTTAGGTAAACATTTTTTGCTCCCCTGCATGAACCACCTCCAGTGGAGTGACTTTGCTCAACCTTGAAATCTCTCCTCCTTTCTGTAGGGTTCATTCTTGGCCCCACAACTCCCTAATAGGCAGCCATGAAGTGTGGGCAACCTTAGCACCACTACAGAGCAACACTAAAGGCTGGTGAGGACATAGTCACTAAGGAGAAAAGAGGCACTTCAGCAGCCTTGACCTAATTCTTTGGATCCCTAGAGGGTGAGACCTAAGTGACCGCCCCCATCTCTCTTCTCTTGCTTTAAAAAATCAATTGTTGCCCACTCATACAATGAAATGTTAGATAGCAATGAAAAGAACAAACTTCGCTCTATCACGCAAGTACATATCATAAGTGTATTGCTAAACGAATTACCCAAATAATCACCATCCATATTGAGAAATGGAAAACTACAGGCAATCTAGAAAGCTGACCCTGCTCTCTGCCAGCTACCACCCCCACAGTCAGTCCTTCCCAGAGTTTCTTGGTTTCTAACAATAAAAACTTACATTGTCTGCTTTTGAACTTTGTATAAAGGGAAGCATATGATACTTACTCTTTAATGTCTAAACTATTTTTTTCGACATTGCATGTGAGAGGCCCTGCTGTTGCAGGTAACAAAGTTTTGGGTGTTTAATTTTTTTCACATTGCAGTATGGAATTCTGTTGTATGCATACAACACAATTTATCTGTTGTACACTTGACAATCACTGGGTTGTTTCCAGCTTGGAGCCAACACAAATAATGGAGATATGAGCATTCTTCTACACTTTTTCTGGTGTATGTGTGTATGCATTCTCTTGGGCATAAAGCTAGGAGTCGAATTTCTGGATTATGAAGTAACCTACAATAAATTTTAGTAGAAAATGCCAAATAGATGTCCAAGGCGATTGTACTAATTTACATTCCTACCAGCAGTGTCTGAGAGTTCTAGTTGCTTCATATCTTCAATAGTTTTTTTGTATAATTGGTCTTTTTCATAACTGGGGTATAGCACTATCTCAATGTGGTTTTAATTCACATCTTCTAGATGACTAATGAGGTTGAGACACTTTTCATCTGTGTATGGGCCATTTGGATATTCTCTTTTGTGAAATGTCTATTCAAATATTTTGCCCATTTTTAGTTGGGTTGTCCTGTTTTTTTCTTCTTATTGATTAGTAGGAGTTCTTTTTATACATTCTGGATATGAGACCTTTGTCAGTTCTATCTGTTATAGATTTCTCTTCCCACTTTGTGACTTACAATTTCACTTATTTAATGTTGTAATAGTTTTGTGAGTTAAAAAAGAAACACATTTACTAAGGAATAATTGCCATACAACCAATACACTGTAAATATTTGAAGTGTACAATTTTATAAGTTTTAACATGCGCGTATGCATATACTTGTGAAACTATTACTACAATCAAGATAGGAAATATTTCAATCACTGTGGAAAGGTTTTCTGTGCTTCTTGGTAACCCCTCCCTCCTGCCCCCGCTCCCCTGCAACTACTGATCTGCTTTCTGTCATTATAACTTGATTTGCATATTCTACAAGTTTATGTAAATGGCATCGCACAACATGCACTCTTTTTTTGTCTGGCTTCTTTCATTCAACATATTTTGACATTTATTCACGTATTTGTGTGTATATCAATAGTTCATTTCTTTTGATCACTGACTAGTATTCCATTGTATGGTATATCATAATTTATCTATTACCTGTTGATGGGCAATTAGATTGTTTCCAGTTTGTGGTGATTATGAATAAAACTTAGGAACATTTATGTACAAGTCTTTGAATGGGCATACACTTTCAATTCTCTGAGTTAAATACCTAGGAATGAATTTTCCAGGCATACAGTAGGTATCTCTTTAAAGGTTTAACTTTTTAAGGAGCTGTCAAACTGTTATCCATAGTTACTGTACCATTTTATAATTCTGTCAGCAATCTATGAGAATTCCAGTTCTCTACATCCTCATCAACTTAGTGTGAGCAAGTATTTTATTTTTAGCCATCCTAATAGGTATGTAGTACATTCCATTATCATTTTAATATTTGTTTACCTAATGACTCATGGTGTCCAGCACCTTTTTATGTGCATATTTGCTCTTCTTATATCTTCTTTGGTAAAGTGTCTATTCAAATCTTTTGCCCATTTTAAATATCAAGCTTTTTGTTTTCTTCTTGTTGAATTATTAGAGGTTTTATTTTATATTGTAGATACAAGTCCTTTACCAGATATTTGATTTGCAATATTTTCTCCCAGGCTGTGGCTTTTCTTTGTAGTCTCTTAACCATATCCTTCGTAGAGTAGAATATTTAAATTTTCATGAAGTAAAAGTTATGGCCCCTGCTTTTGGTTGCATGTGTAATACAGTTTACCTAATCCAACATCACAAAGATTTTCCTCCCTATTTATTTTGGAATTTTTATAGTTTTATGCTTTATATTCAGGTCTATAGTCTAGGTTGAGATAAATTTTGTATAGAGGGCAAGGTATGGATTGGAATTATTTTTTTTTCATACGGATATCCAATTGTTGCAGTATCATTTGTTGAAAAGACTCTTTTCTCCACTGAATTGCCTTTAAACCTTTGTTGAAAGTCAGTTGTCCATATATGTGTGGGTCTGTTTCTGGGCCCTGTATTCTATTTCACTGATCAATTTGTCTAGCGTGATGACAATACTGTTTTAGTTACTATAGCATTATATTAATTAATACCAACACTTGAAATCAAGTAGTGTTAGTTCTCTATAGTTGTTCTCTTTAGCACTTTTGATTAACTCTTCTGTTTTGTTTTAACAAGTTTTCTCTAAGGAACCTTGAATCTGATCAGACAGACACTCTTCAAACTTAGAGCTGGAAATCACACCTGTAGATTTTAATTCCTTCATTCCTTTGGGCATCAAAGTCATTTTAATTCATAGACCTTTTATTAAATTGCATGAACCCTAAAGGGAGTGGGGTTGTGGTGCTATTAAGCCAAACAGTCATCAGCTATTATAGTAACTGACAGCCAGCTGAGAGCCTGACCTTTTTAGAAAGAGACTCTATACCAGCAGTTCTCAACCTGTGGGTCGCGACCCCTTTGGGGGTCAAACGACCCTTTCACAGGGGTCACCTAAGAACATCGGAAAACAAAAAGATATTTACATTATGATTCATAACAGTAGCAAAATTACAGCTATAGAGTAGCAACAAAAATAATTTTATGGTTGGGGGTCACCACAACATGAAGAACTGTATTAAGGGGTCACGGCATTAGGAAGGTTGAGGACCGCTGTTCTGTACACTGACCTCTTGAGAGTGGGGGTAGTCCTGGTGGAAGGTGAAAGGGGAGGGAGCCTCCAATTCATAGTGATTATTATATTACCAGGTATTGTGCTATTTTGCATATAGCATATTGTTTTGTCTAAGAACCTTGTAATTTCTGTTCTAAGAATATTGTCTAGAGAAGAGTCAGCAAACCTTTCTGTGAAGGCCAGATGTTTTAGGCAGGGCCAACTTCATGGCCATGGACCTATGCATTAGCACAGAACCATATGCTTAGAAAGGTTATATGTTTGGTTTAATGCTCTGCTGTCCCCATGCTGAAACTCTTGATTTTTTTTTAATAAGAGGCCCTGAATTTTCTTTTTAAATTGGATATTTTGTAGCCAATCCAGATTTTAGGCTTTGCAGGCCATATAGTCTCTGACACACCTACTCAACTCTGCCCACGTTAAAGCAGCCATAGACAATATGTAAACAATGAGCCTAGCTGTGCTTCAATACAACTTTATTTATGAATATTGAAATTTGAATTTAATATTGTTTTTACATGTCATGAGATAATTTTCCTCCCTCCCCACACACACCTCATTTAGAATAAAAACCATTTTTAGCTCACAAGTCATACAAACAGTGGGTTCTATTTGGACTGTGGGTGGTAGATTTCTGCCCCTGCTCCCCACCCGGGGAAACCTCTACACATGTGCAACAGGTGACACGTGTAGGAAGTTCAGATTAGAATTGTTCATCAATGCTCCAAACTACACACAACCAAAAGTTCCCGCAAAGGTAGAATGGATAAATACATTGCTGTTTATTTATACACAACATATGGTTGAAAGAAAGAGGCAAGTCACAAAAGAATACATGCTGTATGATTTTATTTCTATAAATTTCAAAAACAGGCCTGCATAATTGCTAGAACTAAAATTTAAAAAAAATTAAAGCAAGGAAATGATCTTAAGAAAAATCAAGATGATGGTTACCTCTCGGGAGAAAGAGGTAACGGGGAGGGGACGACTTAGGTGCGGGTGATGTTGTACATTTCCTGATCTGGGTCTTATTTACCTTTGTGTTTGCTTTGTGTGAGTATTCCGCGAACTATACCTTTTACTTATCTACTCTGAAATATGTATCTCCTTATTTTAAAACTTCAGTCCCTAACTCTAACCCTGCGTTGGCATTGGGAGCCCATTTCACAGCGAGACTGGGGGATGGGGTGCTGCACGCCCAGCCCACGTTTCCAGCTCCCTGAAGCTCCTCTGATACAACGCGGAAGACCTTTGGCACCCATCTAGCTCTGGGCTTCGCTTTTGCCAAGAAGAGTCTTGGCTTTTATAGCATTCAAATGTTTTTCCTTTCAGTTTACTTTTGTCTCAGACACTAACACTCTGCCAAATTCCCTCAAGGTCAAATCCACATTATTATGGGTTCCATTGTCTTGAAGCCTTTCTTGTTTGCAAATTCCATTTTTTCCCCTAATTTCAAAATATAATTATAAATAATTCAATCACATTGAATTGGGCAGTGGATGTGTGTACTGGCTACTTTCCCTATATCCCTCTGCTC